TCTCTAAAGTAATTTTTTAAAACTTATGAAAAGATAGTTAATGCTTTGGCCAAAGAAACGTCGTTCTTGGCCCTATTGAAAAGCGCCAATCTTTTGGGTCAAAGTCATATTCATTTCGACTGAGAGATCCTTTTCTTCAGTGTACGATTTGAGCATCTTTTAACCGGCCAGGAAAAAACAGTAAAAACATTAGACGATCAAATCTATTTTTCCAAGGCTCTTTGATTAAAAATTAATGGTTTTAACTAAAAAATTTAAATTAGGATTTTTTAAAGCGAGAATGACAAAAATTGACATATGATATATTTCTTCTTTTTACAGCTGTGGCTTTTTCATTATACTTAATTTTGGCCTTGTTCGAGTATATTTTATATTTTTGTTTCGTATGGCCAAACCTCGGGCCAAACTATACACAAATCAGGAATCGTTTCCTGATTTTTAAAATAGTAATAAAATTTCACATTTAAAAAGCTTAGAATTTTATCAGTCTATAAAACCACCCATTTTGTACAATTTTTCAGTACAGCAAAATATATGAATTTTGATATTTTTTTTATTTCTATATCAAAAACCCCTAAATGCATGATTTCATTGACACTATAAACAACATATTGCTTTGGTTTGTGATGAACGATTAAAGCCGAGACCCCATTAGGCCACACGCCAACCCACGCCACGCCTCGCCATGCCACCTCACATCATAAAGATCTGTGCGTATGTTTTCCATTTAATTACATGTATTGCGTACACACTAGGCATCACGCCACCACACGTCACGGCATCCCACGCTACCACAAGTGTAATGACCACACAGATCTCATGTGTACACTCTTTCCCACGACCAAAACGTGGGCTCACGTGGGATAGCGAGGCGTCGCGTGGCGTGTGGCCCAATGGGGTTCCGGCATTAATTGAAGAATTAAATTGTATGAATTTTTTTGCTCTACTGAAAGCTTTTAAAAAATAATTACGCCTTAACGTTTCGATATGGATGGATTGTTATTCTACTGACAATTGGAGCTTGTTGCTTTATATTTGTTTGTGTGTTTTTAGTATGATGTAGATCTAAGTATATTTGTTTCCATAAGAATACTAATTTTAATTATTTTACCGGGTCGTGTATCATGATTTTAGAGAAATTTGCATGTAAAAAACATGTGAAGAGAAAACCATTTGTAACCATATATCTATACATATTATAGATAGAAAATCTATTGATCGTAAAATTTCATACCTATATTATGATTAACTAAAATATTAAAAATAGAGAAAATTTCAGATCATAATTCATATTTCGTAGTTGCTAGCGTTCTTTGTATTATACATGGTATAATTTACGAATTGTTAATTATTGCAGAGTAATTAGTTACGGTCTAATGTAAAATGTAAACTATGCTATAATTTATATATAAATCAGATTAAAAATTGTCACCTATCAATTTGCATTTTCTCTAAGTTTTCCAGTAACGTATTGGTCTAATAATTATTATTTACATAATTAACATTCACAAGGATCTCGTTCTATGTTACTGTAATTGTGAAATATTGTTAAAGGAGGGAAAATAAAAATAAAATAACTCGTCTGGGAATATAGCCACTAAAATAAACGGATATTTGTCAATAATAATTGTAATCCATTAACAGTTGCATAATTAGTAAACAAAAATGGTTTTGTATTATATGTATAGAGTAAATGCTTTTATATTGCGTGTTTAACTTTGATTAGTACATAATATTGTATCAATATGCTTTATATAAATTTTAAAGATCAAATCATGTTATCGTGTTAACTATTAACTCATTGTCATTTAATGTGTTAATTATAACTATAAAAAAATTTTCCAGAGTATTTATCACTGTTATATATATATATATATATATATATATATATATATATATATATATATATATATATATATATATATATATATATATATTATATATATATATATAACTATATACTATATATATATTATATATAATTAATATATCTATTTATATCATATTGAGCCTAATTATTGCAAAGTAATAAATATTTCGACAGGTTAGATCAAAGACATTATAAAGATAGACCGAACATCTCATTCATAAATACTCGTTGGTAGTGTATCAAACATTCCAATGTGTCAAACAAAGATCAAAGACATTATAAAGATAGACCGAACATCTCATTCATAAATACTCGTTGGTAGTGTATCAAACATTCCAATGTGTCAAAGACAGAAGAGACAGAGAAGTCTAAAATTTCCGACCCCGGCAACTAGGTGCATTTGGATTGTTCTAATGGCCAGTGGCGTATCGTTTTTGGAACGAATTTAATTAGTAAAGTAAAAGTAAAGTAATTAGTAAAATTTTTACTCCATATTAATATACTACATTAACACTTTTTCGTTAGATAAGTTTTGTTATAAGGTCTAATATAATAATATAATTAAGATCCCACATATACTTATGTTGAAATGTTAGTAGGTAGTTTTCGAAAATCGCTCCAACGTCGATGTTCAATTTAAACTTTCAGTTACTTCTATATAAACTTTCACTTACTTTTGAATATTTACAGGGTGACTCGGGCATCCGAAACAGTTCTATATTAGGTTTGTGGTTGGTGACTTTTCTTTCAATTTTTTTTTTAGAATATTGAGGCAATGGTAAAGCACATTTTAGACATTCTTGTAATCATAGGTGGCCAGAACATATTTTCAAACTAAAGTTGTAGATTTGCCATTAAATTTCCATTCCAGAAATACCTATGGTTGCCACCTGTCCTTTTTTGAAAAGGACAGTACTTTTTTGGAATAACTTGTCCTTTTGACTTTTTTTGATTTAAAAAGTCATTTTTATATACGTATTTTCCCTGGGAGAAGAAGAGAACTTAGAACTTCCCGTTGAATCTCTGAGAAAATTACCTACAGCAAACAGAAATATTCTTTTCGTCCAAATTTAATTAGAGGTGTTATAAAACTTATAAATAAATTTTTCTTGTTTAGAATAGGCAACATTATTTAGAACTTCCCGTTTAATCTCAAATGATAGTTTAGGTTTAGTTTTACTTTTTGATCTTAAAAGAACTTTTCAAAATTAGTAATTAGTAACGATATAGTTAGTTCGCAATCGATAGCTTCCTGTGAAGTACTGTGTAATAGTTGTTTAATCTTGTATTATTAATAACTTCCTATACCTGAAATCAATATTTATTTTAATGAGAAATTGTGTTTTTTTTTGAAAATATAAGACAAGATTTGACTTCCGGTCTTCTTCTCGTATTATGATGGCTCTGATACGAGGCAATTACCTTTTAGTCTCTCAATAGAGGGCATTTATCATTAAAAGTATCAAATCTGTGTGCTACAGTATGGGATTTCTGTCGCATAATAATGAATATTACGTTTATTTATAAATCTATTACTTAGGTAGCTTAATCAGACAATCAAATTTTAGTTAAACGTCCCAATCTTCATGAACTGTATTAAGCATATGTATTGCGGATTGAATCACCCTGTATGTTGACAAAAATATTTTGAAAATGTGCGTTACAATGGCCCCGATCTTATGTAAAGATTGAAATAAAAATCACAAATGTAATCGGGAGATTAATATATTTAACAGAAATTGATATTTAAAATATAATTCTAACTATTTTGACCAACAATCTCTTCTCTGGGCCGAAATCAACAACCTCTGACATTCGACTGTTTCCAAAGCCTACTACTCCGCTACTCGCAAACATCAGCGGTCACGGGGTGCAGGCACGGCGTGAAAATGACTGCCTATCATAAGGATCATAGGCGTCGATAACACAAACCAAAAACGTAATACGTAAAAAGCTTTTTTGGAGGCATGGGTCACTCTGTATATAGGTATGTATAAAACTAGTAGCCTAAGAATTATTTACTGTTCGTCCCATTCTAAAAAAAGGTAAACACACCGTGCAAATAACTCTAGGAAGAGGTATTTGTATTGTACGTTGGTAAAAACTTGTCCAAACGAGACCGAAGGGGCAGATATAAGATATAATAAAGCAATAAAATGTAAAAAAGGACGGGTAAACACCTTTGTTTATTTGTTGAGCAAAATTCCTTTAGAATATCGTATATAATTACCAAAATATGACGCAATTTAAAAAAAATGTCACTTTCTGGCATACAATAAAGTTTCAAATGCAACGTTTATATTCAAATTTGTTATGATCTACAACAGTTAGGTAGTAATTGAGACGAATTATAATTCAATTACCGGCTACTACGTTCTTGTTTTAATAGATCAAAATTCAACAAATATAATTAGAAATTATTTTAATTGTGAGAGGTTCCCTTGTGGGACGCCTATGTACGATTCGGCGGAAACAATACCTACCTGTGAAAAGACAAATTCGGGTAATTTGAGCTTATTTTTCCACACATTTGACACTGTCCTACCATATTGAAAATTCGCAGATTCAAAAGTATGTTATACAAAATCAAAAACTACTGAAAACCACTGAAAAGTTCACTCCGGACTTGATTCCGACTTCAAACACACCGTAAGCTAAACGTAGTACGCTATAACGGACCAAGGGCCGTCGCGAGGGGTGGTGGGACGGACGGCTCATTTCATTCTGGAAGACTAGCAGCGACGTTGCCAATAGTTCTAGACGTTTCAGCACATTAAACAGTAAACACGTCCTTTAATAGTAACGCATATATCCTCTGGTTAATAACATATTATTACGCATGCTTCTTTAAAAATAAACTATTAATTTAATTAAGAAATTGAGATTTATTGATATCCGGTGAAGGTTTTAAAGTCACCTTTTCTGCAAATCAAACTAAGTAGATAAGCGCAAATTTGAGACGTGGCAATGTCGCCTTCTCTATCTCAGTTAGTTTTTACAGTACGTAGTCAACCTCCGATTGTTTGATCGGGTTAAAATGCACAATGTTATATCTGTTCTTACTAAATCTATGGGTTAGATACATTTATCTGATATCTCTATATTAAATATCTATAAAAAGATAACTTACGGTTTCTACATCAAACGCCAATATTTGTGGTCGACATATAATATTGCTTCCAATTTTTCCAGTATCTAATACCCACAGACGTCCACATTCATCAATCTGAAAAAAATATTATACAAAGTCTTGGATTACTTAAATGAAAACTATTTTTTTAAAATATTCTATTAAATTCAAGAGTAATATAATCTGGAATAGTATTTTGGTCAAATCCAAAATAAGTATTAAAAAAATAAAAAAATATGAATCTGTTCCAACTATATTCTTTTACAAATTAAACACAATTCAAGGGGTGGCTACAATAACCAGGCAGCTCCACTTTTTTTTCAAAAATGAGATTTTTAATAAATCACCCTTTAAAAAAGTTGACCGATCGTTTCCTGCAACAACCAGTTCTATCAATATAACAGTACATAAATGGCGCCGTTAGTTGGAGCTGCCTTTATCCGAGTTTGCAGCAAGAACCGAGCAGCTCTTTTTCGATTTCCCACAAATTTATTAAAATGGAGCTGCATGGTTATTGCAGCGCGCCACCCGTTCAATTATTATAAGGACGGAGCACATAATATCGAAGAATCTCAATTATATTCAAATCTTGAATGCCACTTAATCTAAAGAAGAAAACATTTGATCAATGTGTAATACTAATAATAATAATAAAATTGCAGATTGCAGGTCATACAACGCTCGATGGAACGAAACATGCCGGGAATAACAAAGAGAGACCGTAAAAATAGAGTGGATATGACAAAAGACCTGGGTAATAGATGACATCAACAGAATCAAATCTACAAGGCAATGGGCAGGACACCTGGCAAGAAGGACGGACAATGGACCACAAAAATTACGGCATGAAACCATAAGGAATTAAGATACCTACAAGAAGACGAAACACCAAACCTAGGATGGGAGGAAATTAGCAGGCAGAACTTGGATCCGCATAGCCAACAATAGACAATAATGGGCTCAATTACGGAGAGATTATATAATTAAATATGTAAAGGAGGTTATATACCTTAATTGGAAATTGGAAATGGTTGAATAAGCTGGAGATGATGTTTAGAGCAGTATCTAAAGATATTTTAGCAATGTCAACAGTCGACAGTACTAATATCAGTAATATCTATATTATTCAAATAAAAAAAATAAAAAAATATTTTTAAAATACTCACCCTAACTCTGAAAACTGATACGATTCTGTTTCTTTTACATTGTTCCGGGTTCTTGTGCCAGGACCAATCTGGATACGGCCGAATAAGCGGGTTTCCAGAATAATTCCTGTTGGTCACAATACCGAAAGTGGCCGGGATACCGGCGACGAATCTAGGAATCGAAATGAAGACGTGGTTCAAGTTTGGAGCTCTACCTAAATAGAAATCTTTAGTTTTATAACTGAAATATAATTAACTTTCAGAAAACTAGTTACTATTTGAATATTGTGTAAACTCAGTATTAGTAGTAGCAAGTAGTAGTTCCTTTGCCCTTTTTGAGTCGCATCTTCGTTATGCCCTTCCATTCTGGGGTACTGTTGCGCGTCAAAATTTGATCGTATTTTCAAACTTCAAAAGAGACCAGTTCGATATTTATTGGGACTGAACAGTAGAACTCACTGCCAGAATTTATTTAAAAAATTCAAAATACTGACTCTTCCTTCTTTATTCATATTTGAATCCGTTTGTTTAATCCGCAAGCACATATCTGCTATTCCGAAAGGCCACCTCACAACTATCCACTTTGGATATCAAGTCGCTTTCATTCTTTCCCGCATTTCGCAAAGCTCTGAAATCATACTTACTGGAGAGAGCCCTATATGCGGTAAACGACATTTTTGTTGATATTTATTCTTAAACAATTTTGAGTTCTAAAATTTTGATCATCTCACACACTGATTAAAAGTCTGGTATTTAATGATAACTCTTAATTGATTATAACCATTTACAATTTTCCAATTGTAAAATTTTTATTGACGTTTTTTTGTGTTCTGCAATGTCCATGTACCTATGTTCTATTTGTAATTTTAATGACGTAATTTTTTTTCTGAATTGTATGAATCTTGGTTAGAACTCTTATTATTTGTATATTTTTTGTGCTTTTATTATTTGTATATTTTTGTGCCTTTGTTTTTTAAACGCTTTGTCGATGAAGCTATTTTGTCTTTTTCTATTAGTGATTGACTAAATGTGGCCTTTATATAAAGAGTTATTTATTTATTTATAAACTCAAATTTTATTCTTTCTGACAATTATACAGATATGTTATTTGGGAAGTACCTCTCATATCAATTTGAATGCGTGTTTGACGTCAATTAAATACTGTATAAATTATCATTATAATTCTCTTGAAAAATATAATAAACAATTTAATGTAGATTAATTCATGTTAAAATGTATTCTTTTAAAGATTTATAATTAAGTGTACCTATAATTTTTTTTATCCATGTACATTAAATTATTAATCTATATTATTAAGTCGTTTTATGTAATTATGAAATAATAATACTTTATATTATGTTGCATTATTTATGTACAGTGTGTCCAACTTGTATCTAGAGTTTGTATTGGTAACAAATTCTATCCAATAAGAAAGATAGAAGAACATCATCGATCATCATTTCCAAGCCAATTTAACGTCTTTTTTATCGATCATACGGTACGTTAATTCTAGGGCATTCTTACTTTAATCAGTTTTACATGTGAGTAATTATAAGTAAGAAACTCCAGTTAAAATCCCCACTTTGAGATAATAAACAGCCACACAGCAGTAGCCAGTATTTTTGAATGTCATGAAACTTTCGAAATGATGTTCAACAATGATTAATTTTATTTACATAATATTCATTATCTTCCTGTCTCGTGAATATTTAAGTATTTTCCATTCTAAAACAACCACTTATCTCTCAGAAGATATGTTGAATACAATGATTCAAAAGTCTCAAGAACTAACACGGTTGAAGTTGAAATTTACATTTAAAGTAGCAATACAAATAAAAGAGGCAGCAGTTAAGGTACTTCACAAACTAAGAGTCTTTCTGTCATTACTCTAAAAATAATAATACTATAATATCGAGGAAGAGTCATAAAGGCGGATTTTATTATAGTACAAAAATATAGTTAAAATAATAAGAGATGATTGTTTACTGAAAAATAATAAGCTGAATGAAAGACTGAAAAAAAATAATAAGGCTGAAAATCCTGCTGAAAATACATAGAGATTTTTTTTGATACTGAGATTGGTTGTCAACTATATTCAGATTGTTCTAGGTGTTAATAAACTAGTAGTTAATAAAAAAATAATAAACTAGTAATTAATTAATAAAATGTTAATAAACTAATAGAACATACGTGAATAGTAAACATCTACATCGATAGGTCCAATGGTTGCTGGTGTGAACAAACCAGCAGCTATGTCAGCGCTTCTTTCAGCTTCAGATGCATAATCGAATTCCAGCTGGTTCCACTGGAACACTATTCTCGGATTTTTCTGCGATTGTGCTACCGTAGATGGAGGTAGCGCACTGGAACATACGCCAAGAACCATACACATATATTGGGTACCTGAAAAAAAGGAAGGAGGAGTTATTAGGACATTGCATTTAAAATTTAATTTAAACTCAATAAGAAATTAATAATAAAACTTTGGTTGGTTATGTTTATATAACAAATATCAGATTTTTTAGAAACCGGTATTTTAATATTAATTATTATATTTCTGCAAAAATTTTCTAAATATTATGCTTGACTTAATTTTGTTAATTTATCCAGGTCAATTTTAAATGATTATTTGGTGGATGAAGTCAATCTGGGAATATTTTTATATTATAATGATTATCGTTTTGTTAAATTTTGAACCAATTAACTTATGCATTTATAAATTTACTGAAATAATCTGGTTGGTATTTATATAAACTACTGTTAACAAAAAGAAAGAAAGTTTTCCTACTCTGTGTGCCAGCCTACAAAGGGACAGAGGCAAAAAAAAGTAAACGATCTAGCTAGGAAAGGAACGAACACTCTACTAACTGGACGAGAAAAAGAACCTGGAAGACCATCCGTAAACTGGAATAGGAATCCTCTAACGGTCTAAGACACTCGGAGGAATTTCTCAGAACTTACGACCGAGAAAAATCAAAAATTTCCCTGGATTTAATTAAGAACAATCTTAGGATTGTTACGGGGTTTTTAACAAAACACTGTCTCTTCAACGAATACCCCAATAGATTGAAGCTAAGAAACAACGGCGAATGCAGATTCTGTGGGGAAAATGGGGAAACAGCTCATCACTTAGCGTAAATATAAAATATATTCCATCATAAACCAAATCATAATCACTAACCATGAATAAAAGACAGTATCTACCAAAAGAATCATCATTTAAAAAAATAAAGTGCAGGACAACATGATCTTTAACGATAAAAATATAATTTAGATACAAAACCATTTATTTAAACATAGAAATAAAACTCCTTGTGTCTTATGAGGCGCCTCGTATATTCTATGAGGCGTTTCTGATATTGAAAATGAATTGATATAATTAAAATATCTTTAACCCATTCTTTATTGTTTAGAACTAGTTACTAATAGTAAGGAAGTCCAAGTGGAATTTTGGAATTTACTCACAGGCCGCAGAACAACATAAGGGGAGGAACCTCGCATACTGTTAACTACCCCCACAATACATGAACCTTTTATACAGGGTAGTGCGTGTAGAGCAACCAGTCAGAGTAGTAATCGTTCGAAAAAAATCGGGAATATCAGATTAAGGCCAAAGTGAGCTAACTACACGCATAAAAGTGTGCATATAAATAATATGACGATTTAAGCGTGACATGAAATTGGAAGCAGCTACAAAGTTGCAAAAAAACGTCTCATGCGCATCGTTTTATTTTGAAGTAAATAATTCAAGAATAATACGGCAATAACATAATCTGCTAATTTCCGCAAATCAATCAAGTAGCTGAAATCATCAATAAAGTTGGTGCTCAGAACTATATATTTCTAAAAAATCTGCCATGAGTTTTGGTTGCGTCTAAATCGTCAGTCTTTTAAATAAGAGCTTCTCTCGGTAGATTAATATACCTCCATTATCAGAAACACGTAGGCGTATGCACTATTAATATCTGAAAACGCCTAAGTATTCCTTTGTGACATTTTACGTTTTTGAAAACCTGTACACGCTCCCCCACCAGTAAAAGAGCATACATCATATACAGGACAGTTAAGTAGTTCATTTAATTTCGATACAACATCAGAAATTTTAATTATTTAACAAAAATCAGTCTAACAATTCAATTCCAAAATGGGTATGCAAGGCGAACAATACAGGCTATATCAGCTTCAAACTCCTGCAGGGACTTAATGGACTTACCACCGCAGGCGCCGTACCTCATTTCTAAATGTCGTACAAGTTCCTCATGCTCATAGTCTTCCCGTTCCAATGATTACAGTGTCTGCAGTATGTCAGTAGCGTCTTTCGCAGTGCAATTGTCAAACCGCTAGCTTTTTCAGCGGATGACCAGCCGTTCGCTTTCGGAGCGGCTTCAAACTGGCAAAGATAGTTGGCCCAAACAGTTTTTCCATCAAACTGTGGAGGCTTCATCGCTATTTTTGAGGTAGATTATTTTGAACTGGTTTCGGATCCTCAGATGTTTTAGATTATTGACATTTTGTTTCGCGTTTTACTTTTTTATTATTTAACGAATCTATCGTCTTGATAATTGGTATTGATATATTTTTGGTTATTTTTTCAACAAAATAATTTTTATACATAGATGTGAAGAGCATAGAAGACATCAGTTTCTTCATTTAATGTTCGAATAACAGACGAATAGGTATCGCTGATTTTCTGATTTTTTTTCTTGAATATTGCATTGACAGCTAATGACCAAGAGAAGGTAATAAAAAATCCAACGATCTAGCTAGGAAAGGAGCGACCACTCCACTAAATGGACCAGAACCGTTCCGCTTTCGAAATTAGCCACCAACTAAATTACCACCATTACCACCAACTAAATTACCACCAACTAAATTAAAGGCTGCTTATATACGGTTGAAGAATTTTTCGTCTCTTAAGAAATATATACCATCAAAGACTAAGTATCAATTATGTGACACACTTATTTTATCTTTATTTGATTATGGCGATGTTGTTTATGGTACATCCATAAACGCTAGATTCTCTAGAAAAATCCAAATACTTCAAAATTCGTGTCTACGGTTTTCTTTTAACATTCCTTTTAGAGATCATATAACCCACATCTTAAAAATTTATCTATTTTATCCATGACTAACAGACGACAATTTCATTTAATGACATTCATTTATCGAATTTTAACTACAGAGCAGCCTCCCTATTTGTTCTCATTGTTTCACTACATTGACCATGATCATTCGACTAGACAAGTGCATTATTTTAAAATTCCTCAACACCGAACAGCTAACTTCCAAAAATCTTTCAGTTTCATAGCGCCACATTTGTGGAATAATATTTCTAATAACTTTAAATTTCAATCCTTCACAGATTATAAAAAACAAATTAAAAATCATTTACTAAATTCGTAAATATTATAATTTCTTCGACTGATTTGTGAGATCTTGTTCTTCTGATATGCCCGTCATTGGTTGCTGTTCCGGTTTTTACACTGTTTCATTATGCCTCTCTGCTTATCTCCGCTCATCCCTGATAAAATTATATTTTCACTTTTTTATATAATTTTAATTTTTTAATTCTGTTTATTTTTGTAATTTAATTTATTTCTATTTTGTATTTGGGGTCGCACCACTCTGGCACTTTGTGCCATTGTATCGGTTTTTTAATCGCGGTGCGATCCCTTTAGACACACATTTATTAATACTAATATTATTCTGTAAAACTTAATGGGGTCTAATAAAGAAATTTGAATTTGAATTGAATTTGAATTTGAACTTAAAACAGAACTCAAGAACCTGGAAGATTCCATTCATAACCTGGAATGGGAATCTTCCAACGCTCTAAGACACTTGAAGAAATTTCTCCGGACTTACGGCCGAGAAAAATTTAAAATTTTCCTTGATTTAAGTAAGAACAACTTTGATGGTCACGGGGTTTTTAATGCCATAAACTTTGTGTTTGTAACTCCATAAAACCGTCTCAGATATTGGCTTTTGCCAAAGCCACGAAACTGTATGATGACTTATAATTCATTAAAGGGGGACACAATAGACCTATACGATCGCAGTGATTAACTTGCCACCATCCCATACAATCTGCAATCTATCTACAATTGGCAGCTACTTTTTTTATCTGTTTATATGTCCAAGTTCGTAAATCTGTCCCTTTTTGCTCATATCTCTGGAATTTCAGTAGAAGTGGAACAAATTTTGATTTTTTTTATGATATGGCGAATTCTGTATGTGTCCATGTGCTACCTCTATAACCAATCATTTGTAGAACTGTTATTTTGTGCAATTTTATAAAATGAACTACTTTTGTGATATACGGTTAGCAAGATTCATGCGTTACAACAGCATTTTTCTTTTTAGTATCTAATTTTGACTATACAATAGGCCCCCACAAGTCCCACAATCTCATTTAATATCTTGGACTCCCGTACTATAATAAACTAGCTACTATTTTATCAATTATTGTTTGTTAGAAAACAATTAATGATATATAAAAAATGTCATACATGCAAATATATGATAATCGGTTTTTCAGATTACTTCAAGGCCATGCGCAATGCCGTTCGTGCATTTAAAACCAGTTTTTCTTATATAATAATATCAGTTAAAACTGGAAAATTAAGCAAAAAGAAGGTAATTGTTAATGAATTTTCGATTTTTCTTTGATTAAATACTTTCCCCTGTCGCGTTTATAAAATATTAAATTTATATGCATATTTTGTGTTTTACCGTTTATACAACACCAGTAAACTTTTCCGGTTCATAACATGAATGATAATTAATAGTTCAATATAAATGTACAGTATGTATAGCACTTGTTAATACCAATAATTAGCCATGTAAAATTATAGAAACTATTTTACATTCTATATCTGTTTTTAAATATCTAGACAATTTTCTAAATAGCTAAAATTCCAGTTACAAGCAAAATTGACCATTAACGTCTTTCGATTTAGAAAGTCCTGGCGATTTTCAATTTTAAAAATGTTTAAAGAATGCCATGAAAAATATTTAGGCTTTATTTCAAGTTGTACACCAACATTAAGTTTATATTATCAAACATTCAGAGATTATCATCATCATCATCATTTTCAGCTTATTCAACCATTTCCATTTATGGTGTAGCTCCCCCCCGATCTCAAGTTCGGTCTTCCTCTAGGACTCTTAATTCCTCGTGGGTACCATGCTATAATTCTTGTGGTCCATCTACTGTCCGTTCTTCTTGCCAGGTGTTCTGCCCATTGCAATTTGAGGAATTTGACTCTGTGGATGACGTCATATTCACTTTATTCATTTACGGTCTGTCTTTGTTATTATTTTATTTGTTATTTCGTCCCATTGAGCGTTATGTGACCTGCAGTTTCCTTATGATGTCCGTTTTAAGTGTCCAGGTTTTG